ACAGGTCTGCAAAAATAAATTATTATTATTATTGTTAAATTTTACATTTATATATTTATTGTACGACTTTTTATATAATTAAGGTTAATAAATTATTCTATTCTTCTATTCTATTCTAATATATACACGCACTAAATACAAATTATTATTAAATTTTGAGCCTTGATAAAACTCTTTCACTTTTGTGTCACGGGCTCTCCGCCTACAAGGAAAATGACGAACTGTAAACAATAAACAAATTGATTTAAAATTATTTAAAAAAATATATCTTAACTTTGCATTGACATTAAGAATTCCAAAACCTACAATTTAAACAGAAAAAATATATTTTAGTGTATATATGCATAAGGTTACGAACCTTACGTCTTGCGTTAACGTTAACGTTGGCAAGCGACGAGCGAGAAACGAAGAGCGACGAGAAATGCGGTACGGTGGTCGCTAGCAGTGCGTGGAGCGTCAGTCAATTGTCATTGGCGGGCCGGAAGTTGCATTGTGCATTCTCTGCCGGAAACGAGCTCCATGCATGCAGATTCAAATACTCTGAGTTTCTCCTGCCTCCTACTTCTGCATTCGTGATGAGGGAGGAGGATATGCGTGTACTTTTTTTTTATTCCATTCAAAGAGAATCTCGCGCTCAAAAAAAAATTAGCAACAGCATAGGAAATATTATATCAATTGACGATAATAATTCAAATACTGTACCCTTGTAAATGTCAAAATCGACCTTAAATAATGATAGTAATCCGAGTCTAACATGCATGTAGATACATGTAAAATATTGAAAAAATATTTGAGAAATAGAAATGCCAGATATAATACTTATGAGTTAATATAGATCAACACCTAAAATGGGATATTCAAGTAAATCAAATTTCCACAACACTGTGATTTTTACTGTTTAAATTTAAATGTCTAAGACAAATACTGCATATCACTTATTAGTACAGGGTTTACCATACCTAATAAAATTATCTTTTAAATGATATATCACACTTTACAATGCGTGACAGTTTTTTATCCCGCTACAGAGGATAAAATCTAAAGTAACGCAATGGAATAGTAATATTACAGAATGGGTCATGTTCAAAATTATTACAGTTCAAAATATAGCTGCATTAAAATTTTTTTTTATCTATTCATTTGCCTGAGTAATTAATTTTTTTAAATTTATGACGTCACCGGGAATAGACCAATAGAAACTAGCCACACAACGTTGCCAGTGACGGTATTCGAAAAGTAATATACGTTCGTTTGTGTGCACCGTCTTACTTTTAGACTTCTAAAATAACGTTAATCAAATATATTTTAAATATAAAATATCAAATGTTTTTAAAAGTATTATATATGTTTAAACTTTCATCATATTTATAGTTTCATTGTTTTAAGAAACGACAACTAATAAACAAGAAAATGGCATTGCGACAGTACTGAATGTGTCATCTGCCAATCAAGAATTTGTGTGTTGTTGTCAATCGATAATTATTTACATATTTTGATGTATTTATAAATATTATGAGTACGAAAAAAATGTTTCCTCCCAAGAATTTCCAGAACCTCTTAAAAGTTTTGAAGATAGTGAAGTTTTGTCTGAATTAGAAAAAACATCTTTAATATCTGATTCAGAGGGTTTTAATAATAATAAGCAGAATCTTCAAAACCAATGAACTCTCAAAATAATTCGGTTTATTTAGAATTGCCCAACAGTGTTTTTAAAATCCTCCATGAAATTTATGAGAAGGGAAGTATAGCTTACATAAACCTTTTACATTTCTGTGTGAATTAGTGGTATTGTTTACTTACAGTTCATCAAATTTCTAGAGGTGTTCGACGCCCAGACAGAGAACGCGCTACGTGTGACTAAGATAGCTATTGTACAGTCTGCTAAACAAGTTATTTTAAATAGTTTTTAATATTTTTAGGTAATTAAATTTTAAAAGTGTGGAATAGTTTAGGGATTAAATTGGTCTGATTGGACTTTCTTAGAACGTTTTTAAAAGCAGCTAAAGATAGTAAGTAGAATTGAAAATAATTATTATGCCATAAAAGGTGTTTTGGAATTCCTTCAACCTTTTGAAATTGAGTCAGAAAATATAAATTTTATAGGATAGCGGAAAATACCTATAATTTTTTTGTAGGCCTTTGTAAATCGTGGAAATAGTTTATATTTTATTTCTACCTTATTAAGGAAAATGGTACCTATTATTAATAACGGTTGTTTCTGAAACATTACTAAAATTTTCGAAATTTTGTTTTTCTACAAAATAATAAACTATACTATTTAGAAAAAAATTTATTTCTCTTATAATTTTATAAAAAATAACGGGAATATTTACATTTCTTGATCTATTAAACAAAACGATAAATTATCTCGACGAATGACACCATGTTCTAGTACGGAAGCTAGCTTTACATTTTTGTTGGTGGTTTCATGGGTTTCATATCAATTTTTTGTAATTGTAGTTTACACGTACATATACCTCTTAACACTTGTTTGCTTTATTAAAAAAGTGTGTTGTTGTGATTTACGTCGAAATAAGTCAAAACCAACTTGAAACCCCATATAAAATCAAAAAGGAAAAACGGAAAAAAATTGAGCCTGTAAATGAACACAACTCAGAAACAAAAATAGCTATCTAATAATAAAAAAATAAAATTTGATTCTTGTGCAGCTTCATCTATATCGTTAACTGTTTTTGGTTTTTTAATGGTTTTTCTTGGTGATGAAAATTCCGATATCTCACGGTTATCGATTCTTTTTTTCTCTCCAGAAATGCGGACGACAGTGTTTTTAGATACTCCTGTGGCTGCAGCAACACGATCATTTACATTTTTAAATGGTATTGAAGGTGAATTAAAGTTTCCTTCTCTTCTCATAAACTCTATAACATTGGCTATTATTTCGCGAGATTGACTGTTAATCACGCGGCCTCTTAATTTGCTATTAAACTCCATACTTAGGTTCTATTAAACTGTAATGAGCAAAAAACACAAACGAAAATAAAAGAAATGTTTTAGCGAAATTTACATCTGACATTTACGTCTGAATGAAATAGTGAAATACTTGATGCGCAGAGTGTACTTTCATTGCGTAAATCCGTCGGGATGCCTGTCAGTAGTGCTTTCTCTGTCTAGCCGTCGAAAGCCTCTAGAAATTTGATGAACTGTAAAAGAACTCATTTTGTAAGAAAGACTAAATACCGAATAATTTAATAAACTATTTAATGATTTTTTATTAATTTATCACGTTTCAGAGATTATAATAATAGTATATACCTAAACAAAAATGTAAAATCTGTGAAAATTTTATTTATTAACCTATTTTTAAAAAATAAAAGTATCTGACTAAGATAAACGAAGTAAAAAACACTTGATTTACAAATAATAAATAATATGTACACACGCAATAACAATAATGGACATGCACAAATTAAAATTTTCTCTTACGATTTATTATCAAATTCAACTTGTTATCAACCTCATTATTTACTTTAAATGTGGGAGAAACAATCCAAAACGTTCATGTGTAATTATTCTGTGTACTGTGCAAATATCTCCTTTTCTCAAGTTATTCACGGAAAATCGCCTTGTCTCCATATACCTGCTTGGTAGATCTGAAAATAATAAAACATTTAATAAAGTGATGATTTTTTTAGTATTTTTAAGAGTGTATTTTTATGGATTCCCATTTTTTTCAATTTTTATTACTTTTCTATGTTCCAAATTATTTCATAAAATAAACATATTTGTGTTCTTATTATTTCAGTTTAGCAATATTATCGTAGATTTGTTCATGTAAATACTAGACATGTGTATAATAGTTGTAACAGAAAGAGTTTGTATATTTACAAAAAGTAGCCATTCATTAACAAACATGAACTTAAATTACAATTATTTACAATAACATGTAACAAGTAGGTAATTCTCGACCAAATAAAAATAGTATTCCAGTAAATACATGTGCACTACCCTTCTAAATAGTTTTAGATGTTATTTAGTTTTAATTTTTGAGGTAGGCAAATTGTATAAACTCGTTTTATACAACAACAAATTTGCTATACCTGAGATAAATGTTTTTAATATGAGGTGTATTGCCTCATAAATACTGTAACTACTATTAAAACAAATTATAAATAAAGTGTTACATACCTTTCTGTCTTAACATGCTTAACTTTGGCACTTATAAACTTAGTATTGTTAATAAATGCAGTAATCATATCTTGGTTTACAGTGGGTAAAACAGTTGAATCAGTTATAAATCCAATCCAATTAACAAAGACAGAAGAAATAAAAATCGAGTATACAAAACAACAACAACAACAACAACAACAACAACAACAAAAACAACGAATGTTAGGTTAGGTGGTCTGGTGGTGTCAATTTTAAGTGTCACTAAGATGTGCATTCTTTTCGACATACCGTGTGTCGGTTTGTTCGTTGGCTTGGTTCTGTATAACAAAAAAAACTTCGACACAAGCTGATTGGTCTATTTCCGATGACGTACACATTTCAAATTTTAAATTTAAATTGATTTTAATTTAAAAACTTTTGGCTTTTCTAACAAACTGATTATTTAGAATAACTTGTATGGCGACTAACTATTACAATATAATTTATAAAACAGCATATCTCACATGTGAACCTGGCCCATTACCTTTTTAACGATGAATCATACTAAGTAATTTCTCTATTTAAATTGTATTGGTTAGAGTGACATAGTGGAGGGGAATGTCGCATGACACGTGATGATAATATGATAAAAATATGCCCCTTTCCAAAGCATAATCGACATGTCCGAAGAGTTCCGCTTTAAATTTCACTAAAAGAGTGCATAATTTACCCTGTGTATTGATAATTAAGTACTTATTTTACCAATTTATATATCTCGATGAATGATTAATATTCAATATTCAATGTACGTTTATCTAAACATCACCCCAGGTATTTATATTTAAATATTTTTCTGATGTTACTATCATAAAATTTTGGAGTTTTTCCATTAAAAAAACACTTAATGGTTATCATGTGCTTGTGAATACAATTTTTTTAAAGATAATATTATAAGTATAATATATTTCTTGATTGTTTATCTAAGTGACATTGAACTAGGTTACAATGAAGTTGTTCCTGTTAAGTTGCATAATCACATTGAGGTAATATTATATTTTTTCATAAAAAAGTAAAAAATTAACAAAAATGTTATTTTCATATCTAACTCTTAGCACTTGTCCCCTGGAAGCTGTATCCAGAAGTAATTAATATTTGTTTTTTTTTGTAATATTTTCAAATTAATACGGGGTTCTATCGGAAATGGGACACATGCTAACTGTGGATGTAGGCATCTTATTGGGTTTTTTAGCCGTTTATAACCGAAATACAGGGTGATTTTTTCAATTTTGCCGATTTTTTTGCTTGACTCATGAGTTACTAACCATTTCTGTTCGATATTTGATGTTTATTTGGCTTTAAAAAGAAACGAAAAGCTCAACATTCAGCCATGATTTTAGGTGGTTTCTTATTATACACAATTCTAATATAAGGCATTATTAATTTCACACTTGTATTTATTAAAAAAACAATTATTAAAATTAAAAGGCATTAAAGGACAAAATTTTCCTAATCTACGATCTACGTGTTTTTACGTGATTGATGATAGGACATTGTCATCTAGGTAACCACATAAGAAGGGTAGGTCTGCAAAAAACATCTGACCGTCAGTTATGAAGAACGGAATACGAATTTCCACAGCGATATCTGTGTTGTACATGCTCCGCTTGGAAAGAACTAGGTTTTAGTTCTTTGACTTTACCAGGCTACCGGCTTTAAACAAGTCTCACCTAACGCAACCTTGACCTTATGTAAAAGGTGTATGGTGAACTATAATTTAAGCATGATACACAATATGTTTATCTGGGTGGAAGGTGGAAAGCGTTGTGATCATCCCACTCATCTTCAACCTAACCTGTACTGACTTCTATTGAGAGAGACATAGATGTAAACATACCAAAGAGACAATAATTAGGCTTTTCCATGCCTAGATATCGATCGTAAATTTTACGGTTGTGCAGCTTGTGCCGACCTAAACTAAGTAATTTCCTATCGTTATCTAACGGTTTATTTTCAGTACAGATCGTTCTAGAAAAGTTAACGCAAGAAATATAACAATCTACATAAATATAGCGTTTATAGTTTGTACTTTTTCAAATACCTTATTCAATATTCAATATTTCAGCTTCGCGCAAGATATTAACCCAAGAAAGTTTCCTCCAAACTTTTTGCTCGGAGTTGCCAATGCTGCTACCCAAATAGAGGGCGGGTGGAATGAAGATGGTAAAAGTGAATCCATATGGGATCATTTTGCCCACAATTTTCCAGAAAAAATAGCAGATAAATCAAATGCAGACATTGCTTGCGATTCTTACCATAAATACAAAGAAGATGTAGCTCTGATTAAGGCTATGGGGTTGAACCATTACCGTCTTTCTATAGCTTGGACTAGAGTTCTTCCCACTGGAAGGACGGATAATGTTAACGAAGCCGGTGTTCAATACTACAAAAATGTGTTCAAAGAACTGAGAGACAATGGCATTATACCAATGGTAACTTTATACCATTGGGATTTACCTCAAATTTTGCAAGAAGAGATGGGAGGATTTATGAATGAATCCATTGCTGACCTTTTTGGAGATTATGCAAGATTTTGCTTTGAGACCTTTGGTGAAGATGCCAAATGGTGGGTAACTATAAACGAACCTAAACAGGTTTGTCAGGTAGGATATGGTGCTGGAAGATACGCTCCGGGCATAAAGTCCAACGGTGTTGGAGATTATGTCTGTGCAAAGAATTTATTACTGGCCCATGCAAGAGCTTGGCATATTTACGATGAAGAATTCAGAGAAAAAAATCAAGGTAAATGATGTTTATTAATTTCTTATTTAAAGCTTATTAATATCTATTATGAACCAAAGGAAAAGTAGCAATAGTTGTTGATGGATCATGGGCAGAACCTGGAAGTGACAATGAAGCTGATAAAGCTGCATCAGAGAGGGCTCTTCATTTTGGTGTACGTATTTTACATTCGGCTTAGTGAAGTAGATACTACTATATTTTATTATTCGTTTATTTCCAGGTTGGGCTTTATGGTAATCCAGTATTCAATGGCGACTGGCCCGAATTAGTGAAACAGCGTGTTGCGGAAAGAAGCAAACTAGAAGGTTTTAGCGAATCTCGTCTTCCAGCTTTTACTGATGAACAAATCAAATATATTAATGGTACTTCCGATTATTTGGCTTTGAATCATTACTCAACAATGATGGCCAGTGATTCAGAAGCTCCCATCGGTCAACCTAGTTTTGACAACGATATAAGTGCCAGATCTTGGGCCAAGCCAGAGTGGACACCTACCTCACAATGGTGGTTCTATGTTAGTACAATAATATACTTCTTTATATAATTTACTTTCGTACGAGTGAACCCCTGCAGTTCTGAAGATCTTTTATTAGTGACTTGCACGCTGCACCACTTTCTGCACCACACCTGTCATTCTTTCCGAAATCCTTCAGGTCGGTGACAGCCACTTTATAACACCTAGCCGCCTCGGTTGCCAAATAGCCCAATCGGATTAGGTGAAGAACAGGCTTGAGATTCTGAAAAATTCGAAGCAGCAATTTTCCTTCGGAATTCGTTGGAGGGGGTCTGTGGTAGTCTAAATTCAAAAAGTTGGGATTCCAAAGTTGTCGTTACCTCCGCCAGCTTGATTTAAAGGGTTATTTTTTGTATCTTGAATAACTCATTTATTTTAAATTTTACACGGAAAATAGTTTTTACAAAAGTTATTTAAAATTAAATTTCCTACAATTCTGCTTTTTTTTGTACGATCGATTTTTTTCGATTTATACCCGAAAAGAGGGGGTGAATTTTTGGTTATAGAATAACTCGTTTATTTTCAATTTTACGAGAAAAATTGTTATAAACAAAGTTGTTTAAAATTAAATTTCCTACAATTCTGTTTTTTTTTGTACGCTCGATTTTTTTGTATTTATCCCTGAGAAGAGTGGGGGTAAACTCTTATCATTGTATCACGTTTCTTTTTAATTCCAGGTATACAGTAAACCCCAAAAGAACGAGGCAGCTGCTCCGTAGAGCGCGTGAGAGCGGGCCTGAGTTTTAGTTTGTGAATACGCTCGGTAGTGAGTGGACGCAATCTAGCAACATGGTGAACTGTTTTGTGTGCGGAGAATCTACAAGTGAAGAGAACGAGGTGACTGTGAAAGAACGTGGCATTAAGACTCTTTTATCGGCAAGCATTGTTAGAGGTGATAATGAACACCAGCAAATGCTCGAATCTGTGGATAGCGTTACCCTACACGTGGCGTGTCGTTTGCGTTATATTGATACAAGATGTGTGGGAGCACCTCGACGCCGCCGTGACTCTGTTGCACCGTCTACGTCCTCAGCAGTTGAATCGCAAGCACCACCGACGTTTGATTTTAAAAGCCATTGCTTTATTTGTGCGGAAAGAAATGAGGTTGCATGTGAGAAAGCGAAAACCGGTTCGCACTGTTACGCGAAATTCGATCAGGAATACGATTTTGCATTGGTGTAATTCACGCACCGACGACTTTGCAAGTGAAATAGTTGCGCGCATTCAAAATGTTAGTGACTTTGTAGCTGTTGGCGCGCGATATCACGCCTCTTGTGTCCGTAAAGTAAATCGCGGGTGTTCGAAAGATCGAGCCGGAAGACCAGTCTCTAACGAAGTAAATAGTGCTATGGCGGACATTTATGATTACATCGAAGAGAATAGCGACGAATGTCAGTTTACATTCAAAGAACTACAGGAGTGTATCAAAGGAGATTTCGTGCCGTATCCGACAACTATAAAGCAGCGCTTACAGGAAGAGTACGGTCATGAAATTCTGATCTTTGAGAAACAAGGAACGCCTTGTATAATTTGTTTCCGTAATACTGGTTACAAAATACTTTCGAAAGCCTGGTACGACGCAAAGAATTCCGATCCGGAGGAAGAAAGGTTGAGAGTGATTCGCGAAGCAGCTGCCATTATTGTCGAGGACATACGCTCAAAACTCTACGATACAAAATCATATCCCCCCTCCGATAATTTCATGGACAACGTGGACGACTCCATTCCCGCTTCTCTGAACGTGCTACTCTCCGAAATTATTTGTAAAACCAAAAAAGGATCGCTGGAATCTTGGAAAAGGAAGTGTACTTCTATCGCGCATGCTATTATATCGGCAGTTCATCCGCGGTCTTTCATTTCTTCTTTACAAATCGGCGTTGGCGCTTTCTTGTACAAGAAATTTGGCTCCAGACTTTTGATTGACGTTCTTTCATCGCTGGGATTTTCCTCGTCGTATGAGAACGTATCATCGTACGAAGCTACTTCCATCACGCGACCACAGCGCCAAGTAAAAGACACCGATTTTATACAGTTTGTTTACGCAAATCCGGACTGAAATGTTCCGTCTTATGCCACAACTGCAACGGAGAAACGTGCGAAAACGTTGTTTCAATTCGAGAGCTGCTGGATGAAGATGACCTTGGTAGTGACGAAAACCGCTCAGAGCAAGTCACCCCCGAACCTCCTGAGCTTCCGGACGAATTCGTCGACAATTACGAGGAAGAATCGAACGACGAAAACTTGGCCGAGCCATCGGCTAAACGTTCCAAACAGACGTCATTGACGTTTCGATAGACTTTTAAAAGTGTACTGAAAAGAAAATAAATTTCATTTTTTTAATTGTAAAAATTATACTGTTCGATAAACTGATTATTTACACCCCTCTTTTCCTTTACCGTGAACGTGCGATCCAACAATATAAACTTTAGAAAAAATCGGAATCATAATTGTACCAAATAACATTTTTGAAAATCAGCAAAAAAAAAACAAACAGAAAAAATAATGGTACAACATCAATAATAAACGTGACAATACAATACTTAGGTTCACCCCCACTCTTCTCAGGGATAAATACAAAAAAATCGATCGTACAAAAAAAAACAGAATTGTAGGAAATTTAATTTTAAACAACTTTGTTTATAACAATGTTTCTCGTAAAATTGAAAATAAACGAGTTATTCTATAACCAAAAATTCACCCCCTCTTTTCGGGTATAAATCGAAAAAAATCGATCGTACAAAAAAAAGCAGAATTGTAGGAAATTTAATTTTAAATAACTTTTGTAAAAACTATTTTCCGTGTAAAATTGAAAATAAATGAGTTATTCAAGATACAAAAAATAACCCTTTAAATCAAGATGGCGGAGGTAACGACAACTTTGGAATCCCAACTTTTTGAATTTAGACTACCAGAGACCCCCTCCAACGAATTCCGAAGGAAAATTGCTGCTTCGAATTTTTCAGAATCTAAAATACTAATCCGATTGGGCTAAAAAGTTGATTTATTTATATTGATTCATTGTCAATAATACAGGGTGTCGCGAAATTAGACGGTCATGTTTTAATAGCGTAATCTACCTCCTTAAATAGAAGTAATAGTTTACATAAACATAGGTCCGAAAACATTCTATTAAAAGTAAAGTCCTGATTTTTGTAAATATTTTCTAAACTTTTTAAGATAACTAAATGAAATTTAGTACAAATGCTAAACATTTTACGCTTTGTCTAATGTACTAAACGTCAGTTTTTGATCATCTTCATAGGTGGGTAAATTAGGGGAGGGACTTAGGGTTAAATTGTCCTACTTTTTTTGCTGACTGTTTTTACCTTTTTTGACTACTAAATTTGGAAAACCAATATTTTCTTTATAATAAAGCTACTTTTGTTTTATCTCGCTAGGACGCACCATTTTGAAGAGAAAAGTATTGTTTATAAATTGGTGTTATCTTATTCGAAAGTGTAAACAATAATTAGTAAGCCTGTGGAATCAGAAATTTTATATTTTTTAACTTTGGAAAATTGGTGACTAAAGAAATTTTAAAAAATATTTACAAAAATGTGCCATCAAGACTTCACTTGTAACACCCTGTATCTCGAAAACGAAAAGTTTTCGGACCTATATGAACTTTTACTTCTATTTTAGGATATAGATTACGCTGTTAAAATATGACCGTCTAATTTTGGGACACCCTGTATAATTTTTTATAAACAGAAATATACATGTCTGTTAATTTAAATATCTCCCATTTTTATGTACAAAGACAGAATTAACAAAAAAGATTCTACACTTGTGCTATTAAATAATCGCTATAACGCATGTGACTGAATATTATAATAAAACCTTTTTCTTTGAGTAAGATCTATTCTTTATTTAAGGATCTTCCGTGGGGTCTCAGAAAATTCCTAAATTGGTTGAAAAACACTTACAATAATCCAGAAATAGTCATTACTGAAAATGGTTACGTCGATAACGATGATACTTTGGAAGATGATAGAAGAATTCATTATTTAAGAGTAAGTTTTAGCAATAAAAAACAGGTAAAATACCTATAGTTAAATCGTTTTACAAATAATATTTTATCTCAAAAATGTTCAAGAACAAATATTCCGAGTTCTAACTTAGAACTCATAACTAACTGTTGTGTTTGAACTAAGGCTGTCAATTCCTGACGTGATAAACGGTTAACCGATTCGACTGATTTTGACCGGTTTCGGTTTTAACCGGATTTTTACTATTATTATAACAGGTCCGGATATATGGTTAACCGCTCCGCTAATCCGGTTAACCGGTCTGATTATCCGATTAACCGGTCCGATTATCCGGTTAAGCGGTCCGTTTATCCGGTTAACCGGTATCAAACCGAGCCGGTTAGACCGGAATCGGCGGTTTAACCGTAACCGTGATCAGTTAAACCCGTCACTGGTGTATCCGTTACTGGTTTAATTGTAACCATCACCGGCTTAATCGTGACGAAACACATCCACCAAATCCTTTGTTTTCAATAGTAATGGAGTTACTTTACTAACCATTTCACCTTTCCTTACTTTGGAATGTTAATATTTATTTGTATCTTTTTATAAAATAAATACAGTCTCATTTTGTTTTACTTACTTTTAAATGTAGAAGTTTTAAAAACATCAATGTTTATAAATATCGTTTTTTCACTTCGATCATTTTAATGCCATCGAACTTTGGTTTTGTATATCCTTCGATGTCAGTATCGACGTTTTAAAAAATATGCGCATCCCTACTAAGAGAACAAACTATACTTGTTCGTTTACGTTCACGGTCTCGCTAAAACCGGTTTCGGGTACGGGTAAACCAGTTACGACTCAACAAGTGACAGGTTTAACCGGTTCGATTAGAGTTACACCGGTTGTGGTTAAACCGGTTACGGTTAAACCGGTTATGGTTAAAATGGTTATAAACCGGTTACGGTTAAACCGGTTCTGGTTAAACTGGTTCCGATTAAACCGGTTACGTTCGGTAATGACAAAACTAATTAAAGAACTTTTCCTTGTGAAATTCAAGGAAAGATAGGATAAAACAAGAAGCTGCAGACTTGCCAGGGAGCTTTTAAGATATCCTGACAACAACACTACAGCGAACAAATAATTGACTATGACTAGACAGAATCTACGCCTGATTATAGGCATTCTGACTGAACATTGCTAACTACGGAAGCATCTCCAGATGCTCCCTTTCTGAACCACTCGATCCACTTATGCATGAAGGGAAGGAATGCGATGCCTTCACGGCCTGGCTCACTTAAAAATGCAGTGTGATTCGTAGTTTCATATTTTTCGGATCAAATATTAATTTCCACAATTAAATGAATTAAAAATTTTAAAAAATTGCTTCATTACATATTAATCATTTGGTAGTTTCACCTGGAAAGTTTTCGGGAGTTTTGAAAATGGGTAATTTTATAGATTTTGATGTGCTCTTTCCGAATTTCAACTTTACCAGCTCGTATGTTTGCCACTCGCGCCGCCATATTGGAAAAATTGCATCTAAAGTATTTTTTGACGATATTTCACCATAAAACATTTATATACAAAATAAAACTTGAAAAAATTTCCTACAATTTATGTAATAACTTTTTTCTAAAATCAATAGTTTTGGTCTACTAGCGCCGCAAAGAGTAGTTCAACACGCGTTTTGGCCAGAAAACTCATTTCCACACTACCTTAAAGTAGAGATAGGATATTTGGCAAAATCAATATTCAGGAATTCGAAACTCGATATTTTATATGGATATTCTACGACTCAACGATACCCTATATCGATACATCTATATGTTAAATCGTATCGAAAGTAAAACAACACTTATGCATCACTAATTAGAAATTTAAACTTTGCAATCTATGAATAAGATACTAAACATACATTAGTGAAATATTGCATACATTTTTGTAAATGTTACACCTCAAAATCTATTTATACTTCCGTATATGATTTTTTCACTTCAATATTTTAAAATTTATTTACTTTGTATAAATATATCTATACAATGCTTGTACTATGTACATTAGCATACCATTCTGATACTCTTTGCGATATTAAAGTGTATCGATATAATAAACTTAGATCTGAATCATGTGCAGTATCGATAATTTTCTATATATCGAACATTTCTACCTTGAGGTAGAGTAACCGTCGCGTTTTTTTATCGTGGTATCCCCAGTAGGCCTAATCCACATGGAAACCACTACACCAAAATTTAGCATAAATTCTTTCGCTTCACTGTTCTTGATGGACCAGGTGTTGCGAGTTCATTGTCTTTAGTACCAATGGAAACGTAACGGTCCTACAAGAAGAACGAAGCGACGGAGAATGCGCTAGATTTTGGAATAGTGAATTGCATGTGGATTAGGTCTACTCGGGATACCACGATAAAAAAAATGGACCGCTTACTTTACCTCAAGGTGGTGTGGAAATGAGTTTTCTGGCTAAAACGCGTGTTTGACTACACTTTGCTGCGCTAATACACCAAAACTGTTGATTTTACAAAAAAAAGTTATTACATAAATTGTAGGAAATTTTCTCTAGTTTTGTTTTGTATATAAGTGTTTTTTTTGTGAAATAAGTCGGGAAGGAGATATTGTCAAAAAATTGCTTCTAGGCTCCATTTTGTCAATATAGCGGCGCAAGCGGCAAAAATACTGGGTGGCAAAGTTGAAATTCGGAAAAAGCGAATAATATTAAATTATCCATTTTCAAAATCACAGGACAACTTTCCAGGTAACCTCTACTTTTAAATCTAACTGACTGTACTAACAGTATTTGACTTCTCTAACTAGGTATATTACCACTTACTATATTTAATTTTGTAATGCATTTTTAGGGTTATTTAAGTGCCTGTTTGGATGCCATATATGAAGATAAAGTTAATTTGATAGGTTACACAGCTTGGAGTATTATGGATGACTGGGAATGGACTGGTGGATATTCGTAAGTTTTAAAAACTGTTTTATTTTAAAATATAGCAGTTAATTGCTGTATTGAATTATAGGTATTATTTTTAACATAAAAAAGGCAAAATGCTGGCATATAACTAGAGTTCTAAGGGAATATATTTTTTTTAGATCCTTTTTGGGAATGTACAAGATCGATTTCAAAGATCCAGATATACCAAGAATCAAGAGAAAATCGGCAGGGTATTTTACAACCATTGCACATAATCGTTGTTTGATAGATTTGGACAAATGTATTGAATAATATTAATTTATTGAAACTAATAAATAATAAAATGACTATTTTGCATTATTGAAATTAAAATAAGAGATTATTTTATTTTAAGCTAATTGTTATCATACTATTTCATATAATTTTATTAAATTAGAGTACTTTTCATTAATATGAATATACAAAAACACTTCAAGTTTTAGTGATAAAGTAAGTATGATTAAAAATTTGAAATTCAATAAAATAGAAATTCCCCGGTAGGCTATATATTATTGATTGCAATTGTGGATTTTGCAGTTGGCACACGATTTTGGTGCAATGAAGTTAGTCTTAATTTTAGGCTGTCTAGTCACCTTGGGGTAAGTTAATTATTGTATATTTTTAAATGATAATATTGGTTGAATTCAAGTTCTAATAAAATACATCATCTTTATAATTACCGACCTATAGACATATACTTTCTTTCATTGCTAAAGTCATGGAAAATATTCTAAAATTATGGACAAAAGTAGCTTAAGAATCGGTTATGTACTCAACAATTAGATTACAAACCAAAAATTTCAACCTTAGTTGTATCTTTTTTTCACTTGCAGATACCACCTATTTTAATATTATTATAATGAATTAATTATAATATAAAAAAATAATTATTTATATTTTTAGCTTAGCCCAAGATGCCATTAATCCAAGAAGATTCCCTTCCTCGTTAAGGATTGGAGTAGCAAACGCTGCTCCTCAAATCGAAGGAGGTTGGGATGCTGATGGTAAAGGTGAAACTATTTGGGATCACTTCGCTCATACCTTTCCAGAAAGAATAGTAGACCGCTCAACACCAGATATCGCATGTGACTCTTACAATAAGTACAAAGAAGATGTAGCCTTAGTTAAAGCTATGGGACTAGACCATTATCGCCTTTCCATAGCCTGGTCTAGAGTTCTTCCCACTGGATACACTGATAACGTAAACCAAGCTGGTGTTCAGTACTATAAAAATTTGTTTAAAGAGTTGAAGGATAACAATATAATTCCAATGGTAACTTTGTACCATTGGGATTTGCCTCAACCTCTTCAAGATCAAATGGGAGGTTGGTTGAACGAATCTATTGTCAATATTTTTGCTGATTATACCAAATTCTGTTGGGAAACCTTCGGAGATGACGCTAACTGGTGGATTACCATCAATGAACCCAAACAGGTTTGTCAAGCAGGTTATGGTTCTGGTGTGTTTGCTCCAGGAATTGTATCTGATGGTATTTTGGATTATGTTTGTACCAAAAATGTATTATTGGCACATGCTAAAGCTTGGCACATTTATAATGATCTCTTCAGGAAGACAAATAAAGGTAATAATAAATCTTATCCTCTGGTTGAGTTACCTGGTATTTTTTTTTTAATTCAGGACAAGTTGGTATGGTTATAGACTCAAGCTGGTATGAACCAGGTAGTGAGAGTGATGAAGACAAAGAGTCAGCAGAAAGAGCAATGCAGTTTGATGTAAGTTCTTCTTGCGTTTTTTTTTCTTGGTACATACAAGATATCTATTAGTTACCAAAGTAATACGAAATAAATTGTTGAAGAGACATTAAATACATTACTGATAACTAACTCTCTATCAATCGATAACAAAGTACCCTATTACTATTCTACATTTGGTGTCAATTATATAAATCTACTTGCAATTTCATATCTGTAGCCTGTATAATTATTTAAACCGCACAATTTTTATATTATTTAACAAAATAGGCTTTTAGGGACATTTTACTCAATACACGCTGATCATTTTAGAAACGATCAATGGGTTATTAAAATATAACTTATTTGAACGATGATTGATAATCGATAAGCGATGACCGATGAGTGATGATAGATTATTGGTATACATGCTCAAGATATCTTCCTCAATGAGTGATGATAGATGGTTTAAGCAGTGTTTCCAGGTGTACGATAATGATCGTTTAATTTTGGTGTTCTGTACAATGTATGATAAAACCGAAATGTACGATAATTTAACCACATGACTTTCAAAAACAACTGGGTGAAATTTTATGCTTTCTTTATAAAATGCATTGATCTTTTTGCTTCTAAATTGAATAGAAACTAAAATCGGCCTAAGTAAATCAAGGAAGAGTATGGGATGTCTCTTTATAATAATTGACTTACTGTTTAATACTATACGTTATGTTCTATGATGTGTGCTACCGCTACCGGCACCGTCGCACCAGAAATAATTTGGAGAGCCAATCGCGTTGAAGATTTCAAGATGCCAGCAAATATCGTGATAAATATCGATGTAAGTATCGATGGTGAGAGGATGTGCTAATCTTTGGTATGCACATTCTCATTTTTAACAGACTTCAAAAAAGGAGGAGGTTCTCAATTCGTCGTAATATTTTTTTTATGTATGTTCAGCGATAATTCTTTAACACGGTGTCCGATTTCAATGATTCTTTTTTTGTTAGAAAGAAAGCATTTCAGGGGTAGTCCCATATTAATTTGGTCAACATCTAATAATTGAGTCCATGAGAAAAATACTCAAATTCTTCATTTTTTATGTATGTTTAGCGGTAATTCTTTACCACCTTGTCAAATTTCTACGATTCGTTTTTGTTAGTAAGGGGATACCTCAGGGCTGGTCCTATATAAATTCGATCAAAATCTAATAATTGGGTCCATGAGAAAAATCCTCAAACTCTTCATTTTTTATGTATGTTTAGCGATAATTCTTTACCACCTTGTCCGATTTCTATGATTCTTTTTTTGTTAGTAAGGGGGTACCTCAGGAGTGGTCCCATATAAATTTGGTTAAGATGTGGTGACGGCATTTGCATGATTTTGAAGTCGGTTTTTAAAATTACTTTTAATACTTGTTAAATCTGTACATTTGTGTTACATCGATTGATATCTACTTAACCATCGCCTATCGATGATCAATCAACACTCATCAAGGCATCTTCGGCATGTACACACTCTTAGGGTCTAATACATTAATTATACCTAATATTTAACATGTACACTTTTCACAGTATGTTCTGTTTTTTTTTATTATTAGGTTTAGTCCTTTTGAGTATTCTTACTTGGTTTGTGTTGTCTAGTAGCTAGGCTGCCTGGACATTCTTTGACTTCTGGCAAGTTAATAATATTTTCTTCCATATAATCCATTTCTACGTCCCGGTGAAGATCAGAGTTGCGACTGTACATGAGTTCCTTATTATCTTGTTTTGTTGTTGCTGGTACAACCTCAAAGGTAGATGCCATATGTCCACAAAGGTTTTGGAATTTGCTGGTAGAAAAGCAATTTGTTGTATGTAGAGAGCTTGGAATTTCTTCCTATCAGCCAGTACATTTTACATGTATTCTCTAGCGAAACCTAGCATTGAGAGTCATACCTAGGTATTTTTCTGAATCATCAGAAAGGGGTCTAAATATAATTTATTCTGATTGTTTTGCTTCCGTTTATTCATAAATTTAACGTGATTGGATTTATTTTCATTCAGTTTGATGCGCCAGGTATGGAACTAATTTATACATATTTGAATTTTCTGGCCGTTTCTGTGTGATATTTTCATGTCGCTAGAATTGCAGTATCCACTTTAAATCTAGCTATTGTATTGTGTTCGAGATTATATATATCATTGGTGTATAGTAGGTAAAGTACGGGATTCAGTACATTACCTTGTGGTACTCCTGCCTTGATTTCCTTTATTTAAGAACATGCTTCTATCTGTTTAATTTTGAAATATTTTTCTTTTACAGATGATTCCACTAGGTCTGAATATTGTCTTAGCAATAGTGTTTTCAGCTTGTGAAACAATCCTTCATGTCATACTTTATCAAAAGCAAACTTTGTCCTCTTTTAACGATTTTTCAATAGTGTCTGTAATTTTGTACAATTGGTCTATTGTAGAATGGCTTTGTCTTGATGAGAAGAAATTCTCCTCTATTATTGATTTCAATTCTTTACTGAGTAATTTATAATATAATTTTTAACCGACTTCAAAATATTGCAATATTTCTTTTTCTGTATGTTCAGCGATAATTCTTTAACACGTTGTCCGATTTCAATGACTCTTTTTTTTTTGTTAGAGGGGGTACTTTAAGGGTGGTCCCATATAAATTTGGTTAAGATGTTGTAATGACATCTGCACGTTTTTGAAGTCGTTTTTTTTTAATTTTTAATTTCTAATACTTGTGATATTACAGAAAGTAAAGAAATTGGTCTGTATGATAAAACTTTGTTAGGTTATTTGCCTAGTTTTGGAATCAACATGACCTCTGCTATTTTCCAGAGCTAAGGTACATATCTCAGTCTAAAGGGTACATTAATTAGATGCGTTATTTTTACAACTGCTTTCTTTTGAAGTTGTTTTTTATTTCGTACTATTACTTGAGTACTTTTAGTTCTGATTTGTTCTGAATTTTGACTTGGCCAAGACTGTCCTTAACAAAAAAAATATAAGTCGGGTAATGCATGGATAAAGCAGAGAATGAGAGATGAGTAGTTACACTGTACCCTCAACTTCACACTATACATTTACTTGGTACAGAACTCATTTAAAACTTTTAATTCTACACACTATACTTTAATTAGAACTGAAAATTACCCTACTAAGAGGTCTTTTTGGGCCTTTCCCAACGGCATCATTTTTATTTACATGTATCTTATGGGACACTATTTCCTCATGGCACCTCCATATAGTTCTATACCTTCATGCCTCAGCCAAAAGCCGGTCGCGATAATAGCAACAAAACTATAATTTTCATAATGCCGTTGCAGTCAAAAAAAAAATTTATTTTTGATTTATATACTTTTTTGTTAGCATTAAATTCATTTTAAATGTATTTATTGTTTAGATTGGTATTTACGGCAATCCACTTTTCAACGGAGACTGGCCAGCAGTAGTAAAAGAACGTGTCGCAGCTAGAAGCAAACTCGAAGGATTCAGCGAATCTCGTCTTCCGATACTTACAGATTTTGAAATTGATTACATCAAGGGAACTTCCGATTTTTTGGGGCTCAATCACTACTCCACCTTGTTGATCAACCACACAGCAGAAGCTCCCATTGGTAG